TATATCTGCAGGAAATAGCGATATTTTAATATTTAAATATTATTTTAAAGCTTTGTATATCATAACATGAATTTTTTTTAAAAGCTTTAACAAGTTCACACAAATGCATTCTGTGCAATTCTAAGGAAAATATTGCATTATGGTCACTAGATGGCGCTACCATAAGAAATAAGGGCTCTCTGGCGCCATCCATGGGCCATAATGCGGTATTTTGCACATTTGAGCCTGCAGAGAATCTAGCCTGAGAACATTTGTTTCGCGCCATTCACACAGGTCAGATTTACATGACGTTCCGATGGACAAATGCCCATGCGAATTTTTTCTTTTTTCCACCAATAGACTGCAGAGGGTGTGACCGGGAGGGAGGGAATTTGTGTTTTTAGAGGTCAGAAAAATACGTTTTGAGATAAAAATCCCGTTGTCATTTGTATTCTAAATATTCATTTATATTTCTGTGTCTCATCTGTAGGGATCGTCCTTCTTCTTTGTTGACCGAAGCTGATAAAATCCTGTTGATCATGGGGCTGTCCTCTGGATTCCTGCTGGTTCTGACTGGTGAGTAAAAAGAATGTATAATTGTTGGGTGTCAGAGAATATAATAACCCCCCCCCCCTTTCACTGGAGTCACTGGGTGTAATAAAAGCCCTACCTCCCCAGCATTGTCACTGGGTGTAATAAAAGCCCTACCTCCCCAGCATTGGAGTCACTGGGTGTAATAAAAGCCCTACCCCCCCCAGCATTGGAGTCACTGGGTATAATAAAAGCCCCCCCCAGCATTGGAGTCACTGGGTATAATCAGGGCCAGGACAAGGGTTGGGCAGGAGGGGCAGCTGCCCTGGGCACAGTGGGAATTTGGGTGGGGGAGGTTGTGCTCGGAGAGATGATTTGGAGAATTCTGGTTTAGAAAAGGGAATTTATTCTTAGGGAGTAAGTGTTAAGATTAGTGCTTTACATTTTTTTTTTTTGGGGGGGGTTGCTGACATATAATGCTCACACATTTTAGAGTAGGGTGCTATTTGACATCTTCACCCTGGGCACTAGATGACCTTGCCCTGGCAATGGGTATATTAAAAGCCCCCCCCCCCAGCATTGGAGTCACTGGGTATAAGAAAAGCCCCCCCCCAGCATTGGAGCCACTAGGTGTAATAAAAGCCCTCCTAGCATTGGAGTCATTGGATGTAATAAAAGTCCCCCCAGCATTGGAGTCACTGGGTGTAATTAAAGCCCCCCCAGCATTGGAGTCACTGGGTATAATAAAAGCCCCCCCCAGGCATTGGAGTCATTGGATGTAACAAAAAGTCCCCCCAGCATTGGAGTCACTGGGTGTAATTAAAGCCCCCCAGCATTGGAGTCACTGGGTATAATAAAAGCCCCCCAGGCATTGGAGTCATTGGATGTAATAAAAGCCCCCCCAGCATTGGAGTCACTGGGTATAATATAAGCCCCCCCCAGGCATTGGAGTCATTGGATGTAATAAAAGTCCCCCCAGCATTGGAGTCACTGGGTATAATATAAAGCCCCCCCAGGCATTGGAGTCATTGGTTGTAATAAAAGCCCCCCCCCAGCATCGGAGTAGCTGGGTGTAATAAAAGCCCCCCCCAGCATTGGAGTCACTGGGTGTAATAAAAGTCCCCCCCAGCATTGGAGTCATTGGGTGTAATCAAAGCCCCCCCCCCCCCCTCCAACATTGAAGTCACTGGGTGTAATAAAAGTCCCTCCCCAGCATTGGAGTAACTGGGTGTAATAAAAGTCCCACCCCCCAAGAACTGGTGTCAATGGGAGCATTAAAAGACTGCCCTCCACCTTGGTGTCATTGGGAGTAATAATTTCCCCAGCATTGGGGTCAGTCAGTGGGAGTAAGAAAACCCCAGCACTGGTGTCAGTGGGAGTAATAAACCCCTAGCATTGGTGTCAGTGGAATAATAAACCCCTAGCATTGGTGTCAGTGGGAGTAATAAACCCCTAGCATTGGTGTCAGTGGGAGTAATAAACCCCTAGCATTGGTGTCAGTGGGAGTAATAAACCCTTAGCATTGGTGTCAGTGAGAATAATAAACCCCCAGCATTGGTGTCAGTGGGAGTAATAAACCCCCAGCATTGGTGTCAGTGGGAGTAATAAACCCCCAGCATTGGTGTCAGTGGGAGTATTAAACCCCCAGCATTGGTGTCAGTGGGAGTAATAAACCCCCAGCATTGGGGTCAGTCAGTGGGAGTAATAAACCTCCAGCATTGGTGTCAGTGGGAGTAATAAACCTCCAGCATTGGTGTCAGTGGGAGTAATAAACCCCAGCATTGGTGTCAGTGGGAGTAATAAACCTCCAGCATTGGTGTCAGTGGGAGTAATAAACCCCTAGCATTGGTGTCAGTGGGAGTAATAAAACCCTTAGCATTGGTGTCAGTGGGAGTAATAAACCCCTAGCATTGGTGTCAGTGGGAGTAATAAACCCCTAGCATTGGTGTCAGTGAGAAATAATAAACCTCCAGCATTGGTGTCAGTGGGAGTAATAAACCCCTAGCATTGGTGTCAGTGGGAGTAATAAACCCCTAGCATTGGTGTCAGTGGGAGTAATAAACCCCCAGCATTGGTGTCAGTGGGAGTAATAAACCCCTAGCATTGGTGTCAGTGGGAGTAATAAACCCCTAGCATTGGTGTCAGTGGGAGTAATAAACCCCTAGCATTGGTGTCAGTGAGAATAATAAACCTCCAGCATTGGTGTCAGTGGGAGTAATAAACCCCCCCGGCATTGGTGTCAGTGGGAATAATAAACCCCCATCACTGGAGTGGGAATATTAAACACTCGACATATCTGATATCTGGGTAATAGAAGGCTTCATTGCCATCTGAGTCCTCATTGTGAAGATCCACCCTCTCCATGTTTCACAGCGGGAAATCCAAACTTCTACAGTTGTCACCAGGACAGGAATAGAGGGGAATCTTTCCACGGGGGTCCCTGCTCTGGGATCAGTGGTCTTAGAGATTTTACAGGAGATGTACAGGATGTACAGGAGACACAACAGGAACTGGAAAGAAATCAAAGGCAAGATTTCTTTCCAGTTCTTGTTGTGTCTCCTGTACAGGAAGTGAGAGGAAATCTCCCCAGTGGAGCAAAAAAAAAAAAAAAAAACCTCAAAGGGGTTTCAACTTTCCCCTACTCTATATAAAATTAAAAATGTTTTAAAAAATATTTTATAGTCAAAGAAATTAATTTAAATATTAATGTATTTAATTAATTAATTAAGAAATTGCTTTTTTGTTTTCCAGGCGTCTCCTTCATACTAATATATGCTGGGCCAGGTATGTATACAAATAAAATCCTTCTATAGCAGGGGAGGATGGTGTCACCCGGGGTGGGGAGGGGCATACCATGGTGCAGACTGTGCAGCTGTACAGGGGCCCTCTGTGACTTTGAGGGCCCCATTTATACTAGACGTGGGTCAGGTGGGTGGAGCTCACTTCTCTGTAGTTGTCAATAGATACACAGGGGATTTTTTTACTAAAAAGATAACAGAATACATTTTGGCCAAGATTTATGATGAAATATTATTTATTTGCAAAATTTTATAAGAAAAACCCTTTTTTTCAAAATTTTTTGACTTTTTCATTTTTATAGCACAAAAAAAAAAAATAAATCCCAGCGGTGAATAAATACCACCAAAATAAAACTTTATCTGTCTCAAAAAAATTCCAAAAATGTCATATGGGTACAGTGTTGCATGACCGCGCAATTTGTCATTCAAAGTGTGACAGCGCAGAAAGCTGAAAGCTGGCCTGGACAGGAAGGGGGGGGGGGGGAAAGTGTCCGGACTGGAAGGGGGGGAAAGTGTCCGGACTGGAAGGGGGTGAAATTGTCCGGACTGGAAGGGGGGGAAAGTGTCCGGACTGGAAGGGGGTGAAAGTGTCCGGACTGGAAGGGGGTGAAAGTGTCCGGACTGGAAGGGGGGGAAAGTGTCCGGACTGGAAGGGGGGGAGAGTGTCCAGACAGGAAGGGGGGCAAAGTGTCTGGACTGGAAGGGGGAGAAAGTGTCCGGACTGGAAGGGGGTGAAAGTGTCCGGACTGGAAGAGGGGGGAAAGTGTCTGGACTGGAAGGGGGAAAAGTGTCCGGACTGGAAGGGGGTGAAAGTGTCCGGACTGGGAGGGGGGAAAAGTGTCCGGACTGGAAGGGGGGAAAAGTGTCCGGACTGGAAGGGGGTGAAAGTGTCCGGACTGGGAGGGGGTGGGGGGAAAAAAGTGTCCAGACAGGAAGGGGGAGAAAGTGTCCGGACTGGAAAGGGGTGAAAGTGTCCGGACTGGAAGGGGGTGCAAGTGTCCGGACTGGAAGGGGGGGAAAGTGTCCGGACTGGAAGGGGGTGAAAGTGTCCGGACTGGAAGGGGGTGGTGAAGTGTCCGGACTGGAAGGGGGTGAAAAGTGTCCGGACTGGAAGGGGGGGAAAGTGTCCAGACTGGAAGTGGGGGAAAGTGTCCAGACTGGAAGGGGGGAAAGTGTCCGCACTGGAAGGGGGTGGAAGTGTCCAGACTGGAAGAAGGGGGGGAAGTGTCCGGACTGGAAGGGGGGGAAAGTGTCCAGACTGGAAGGGGGGGGAAAGTGTCCGGACTGGAAGGGGGGGAAAGTGTTCAGACTGGAAGTGGGGGAAAGTGTCCAGACTGGAAGTGGGGGAAAGTGTCTGGACTGGAAGGGGGTGAAAGTGTCCGGACTGGAAGGGGGGGGGGAAGTGTCCGGACTGGAAGGGGGGGAAGTGTCCGGACTGGAAGTGTTTAAAGTAAAAAAACAAGTAAGTTAGCCTACGCCCATTTTATGGCTACATCGATTTCCCTGAAACGGCTCACCCAGATTACTGCCACCTAGAGGATTTTCCTGGGCAAGGCGGTCTGGGGGAACCAAAGTAAAGAAAAAAAAAATCTTTGGGGACAGGAAGGCATGACAGTTTTATGTTGCTTGCCAAAACAAAAAACCATCAATAATGTTTTTTTTTTTTTTTTTTTTTTAATGTTCAGTCCCCGAATGTCCAGAAAATCAAGAATACAAACCCTGTGGGCCAGCCTGCCCAGCAAACTGCACCCACCCTGACCCCCCTCTGTGTAATCGGAAGTGTGAGAAAGGGTGTTTCTGCAAGAAGGGCCTCGTGTCGGACGGATACGGAGGCTGCGTCGAAGAAAAGCTGTGCAGATCTTGTACGGGGAACACGACCTACGGCTGCGGGAGCACCTGCCCCGCTACATGCAGCAAAAGTAACGAAGGAAAGATGTGCCCCGCTATGTGTGTCTTTGGCTGCAACTGTAAATCCGGATATGTGCTACTGAGTGAAGACGATAAGTCCCGCTGCGTCCTCCCCGGGGATTGCCCCCCGTCGTAAATCCATCAAATTCAAGCCTTACAAGTGAAAGGCCATGCAGAAGATGAGGAAGCTAATATAAAAAGTAGATTCTGGTACTTATACTAAATTTATATATATATATATATATATATATATATATATATAGGGCTTTTCTTTTCAGCGGGAACGCAGTTCCAGTACTGAACGTATGTAATGGCAAGGGGTGCTGGTGTGTCCTGGAAGGTCTATTGATGCTTGCTGCTGGGGGATCACTGGGGGGAGAGGATCTATTGTTTTGTGGCAGTCTATATACATTGGAACAACTGCACTTGCAGTCTATTTACCTTTTTTTTTTAATAAGCCATAGCTGCACCCTACGCGTTTCGTCACGAGCCGACGCCGTCCTATTTATTGATCGTCAGCACTGGAACAACTGCACTTGCGGTTTATTTTCCTTTACAAAATCCACCCCACAGTGGTTTTATGACGTCATAAGCCGTAGCTCCATCCTACGTGTTTCGTCAAGAGCAGACGTCGTCCTATTTTTTGGACCGTCAGCATTGGAACAACTGCACTTGCAGTCTATTTACCTTTTTACTAAATCTGCCGCACGGTGTTTTTATGTCATTCGTGCATTTGGTAGTTGCGTTATGGCTCTTTCATAAATTTTTCATCAGTTTATATCAGTTTTTTCATCAATTTTTCATCAGTTTATAACACTTTTTTCATCAATTTTACATCAGTTGCGTTATGGTTTTTTCATAAATTTTTTGTCAGTTTATATCAGTTTTTTCATCAGTTTATATCAGTTTTTTAATCAATTTTTCGTCAGTTTATATCAGTTTTTTTTATCACTTTATAATGGTTTTTTCATCAATTTTTCACCAGTTTATATCAGTTTTTTCATCATCAGTTTATAACAGTTTTTTCATCAATTTTTCTTCAGTTTCTCATCAGTTTTTCATCAGTTTATGGGTCCTTTCTCACGGCGTGGACCCATTCAGCGGACCTGCTTGCTCAGTGGGGGATCTCTCCGCTGAAACCCTGCTCAACAAGTGGATGTAGGTTCCGATTGGGTCCGCCTGAAAAATGGCCAGGCGGATCCGACCGGAACATTCGTGTGAAAGAGCCCTTTCTCGTCAATTTTTTCATCAGTTTTTCACATCCTTTACCAATGCAAAAACAGATGCAAATATGGACCGTATGTCCGTTTACATCTGTTTTTCATCCGTTCACAATGCAGACGTTAATGGATGTAAACAGACGATCATCTGCTTACATCCACTAATCCATAGAAATACATGGGGGTCCATTTTTCATCCATAAACAGACAGATGAAAAATGGACACACGGAATGCCTGGGGGAAAGGGCAAGGGGCGGACTGACCATTTGGGAACTCGGGCACTACCCGGGACCCAAGGTCAGTAGGGGGCCCCATGAGATGCCCCTGGTACCTTTTCATGGGCTTTTTTGGGTGTGCTATGAGAGTGGGTGAGGACACAGGGGCCCCATGAATCCCCTATTTCCCGGGGGCCCCATGAGTTGTCAGTCCCCCCCTGGGAAAGGGGCATTATTGCAAAATAAATTTACTGCTTGTGTTTTCAATGATCAATTAGTCGATTATCACTGAATAAAATGTGATCGAGTTTCACTATAACATAGTCTGTGATTGTGCTTTTTAAAGACATGAGATGATATCTTTCCTAAAGCAGGCCATAGACGGGGAGAAAACCGGACATTTTTTTTTTTAAATGAAAAATCCGTCACTCAGTCGGCCGACGTTACCACCATTGTTAAAAAAATGGGCTGATTTTCGTCCCGTCTACGGCCGGCAAATATAATAGCGGTGTCCCTGCAGAGAGCTCTGCTATTATATTTGACATTTAAAAGTATAGCAAAGTTGGAACATTGTATCTATTTGTATCCATTTTGGATACAGATGTTTCTATTCAGATACAAATAGATACAATGTTGCAACTTTGCTAAGACTTTTAAATGTCAAATATAATAGTGGAGCTCTCTGCAGGGACACCACTATTATATTTGACATTTAAAAGTATAGCGGTTGCAACATTGTATAGCGTATTCAACATGGATGTACAATCTTCCATTTGTATACTTTTAAATGAATAGAAAGCATCTGTATCCATTTAAAAGAAATGGATACAAATAGATACATTGTTGCAACCGCTATACTTTTAAATGTCAAAAATATAAAAGTGGTGTCCCTGCAGAGAGCTTCCGCTATTATATTTGACATTTAAAAGTATAGCAAAGTTGGAACATTGTATCTATTTGTATCCGAATAGAAACATCTGTATCCGAAATGGATACAAATAGATACAGATGTTCTTTTTCTTTTTCTTTGTCTTCATCTTCTTCTTTTTCTTCTTTTCTTGCAGGTCACGGCTCATACGCATTTTTTTAATCAGTAAAAAGATCGGCCGATTTGCCCTTCATTGCAGTGAAAATCGGCCGATGGACAAAATCGGCCATTTTTTTTCCAACATGACCGATTAAAAAAATGTGTCAAAATCACGAAAAATGGCCCACCAATTCACCCACTAACAATCCGAAAATCGGCCGATTATTCTTTTGGCCGAATTTTCGGCTGATTTTTTTTGACCCATCTATGGCCTGCTTAAGCGATGGGTCCTTTGAGTGTGATTTATTTGCAAAAAACTTTGATGTCTTTCTGTTAAATATCGAATTGTCTCGATATTCTGTCTAACTTATATTGGTGAGAAATGTCCAAAATAGAAAACCCTTCCAGCTCTTGTATAAAAACCTCAAAAATGGATTAAATAATAAGATTGCATAAAATGACAAGTAAAATATTGGAATACAGAATGGTATAAAATGTCCAAAAATTATATAGTTATGTTCTTGAGATAAAAATTGCGTGTGTCTGTGGGCTCGTTAGCCCAGCCTGTAATCTCATCCAAGTCTCGTGAAAGAGTACCTAAAAGTTCTGCTCTATTACCCCAGGTTCACACCTATGCATTTCCAGAAATGAACTACAATCCATTGAACATGATTTCCTATGGGACAGGATCACATCTCCACGTGTTTTTTTTTTTTTGGAAAGGGTCGGGGACTTTTTTAATGCAAAAAGTTGCATTTTTGGTTCTGTAGACTTGCTGCAGATTTGCTTGCTGTACGCTGCAGAAAAGCATGTAGTGCGCTTTTTGCTGCGTTTTGTGTTTTAAATCTGCCTAGCAACAAGAATTTTTTTTTTAAAACCCCCCCACAAAATGCACCAAAAATGCAGGTGCAAAAAACGCACAAAACGAAACGCGAAACGGGTCAAACGCAAACCTGCATAGGTGGGCACCTAGCCTAAGGAGCAATTCAGCCCCACCTTCTCCTAAAAGTGGGCTGGTATTCCTTTCTGTTTCTTATAGTTCCACAATAATAACTGATTTGTTGGTTCAAATTCCAACCACGGCACCACCTGCCTGGGGTTTGTATGTTCTCACTGTGCCTGTGTGGGTTTCCTCCGGGAATCCGGTTTCCTCCACTCACTAAAGACATGCTGGTAGGTTAATTGGCTGCTGTCTAAATTGGTCTTACTAGTATGTGAATGTGAGTTAAGGACTTAGATTGTACCCCCCTCGGGGGCGGAGACTGATAGAAATGTACAATATATATGTAAAGTGCTGCGTAAATTGAGTACCTGTAATAATAATATTAGGTTATGGAAGGCTTCTAGCACTTTCTGTACATGTAGGAACCCCATTTAGCCTTCCCGAGAAAATTTCTGCACATAAAAATCTGACCCACAACCTCCCATAGTGATGAACTCCCATATCCTGAATTTCCTTACATTTGTGCCAATACCTTGTGAACATTGTGTGCTGCACTGCTTCCTTGTCATATACCAGACTTTCTCAAGCAGGATGCCTTGAGTCTTCTTCAGGAATGCCTTGAGTCTTCTTCAGGGATGCCTTGAGGGATGCCTTGAGTCTTCTTTAGGGATGCCTTGAGTATTCTTCTGGGGTGCCTTGAGTCTTCTTCAGGGGTGCCTTGAGTCTTCTTCAGGAATGCCTTGAGTCTTCTTCAGGGATGCCTTGAGTCTTCTTCAGGGTACCTTGAGTCTTCTACAGGGGTGCCTTGGCAAAATGCCCAACAATTCTAGACAAGCCAGCAGATGGATCAATCTTGCCTTTTAGTACACAAAGGGCAGGTTTTCATTGTGCACTTTTATGGCCTTCTAGCTGCCTGCATCCTAACAACCATTACATCATCAGTTGGTAAGGAGGATGTCGGTTGCAGGCTCATCATCCTTGTTTGGCCCTTCCCTGCCCCTCTCCATCAGCACTGGGGTCACATTAGCAGAGTAAGGGAGAGAAAATGAGAGAGACGCACAGGAATACTAGTCAGTACCCATGTGCAAAGGTGTATTTGCTTCGGAAGAATACATCACCTCCAGGGGCGGACTGACCATTTGGAAACTCGGGCACTGCCCGAGGGCCTGGGGTCAGTAGGGGGCCCCATGAGATTCCCCTGGTACCGTTTTCATAGGCTTTTTTTGAGTTTTGACAAGGACACAGGGACCCCATGATCCCCTATTGCTCGGGGGCCCCATGAGTTGTCAGGCCGCCCCTGATCACCTCTAACGTTGGGTGTACTGGATGTGTGTAGAAGAGTTTTTTTACATTTTAGATTGGGTGCCTTGAGATTATCCATAATTTTAAAGGATGCCGTGACTGAAAAAAAGTTGGGAAACACTGCTATATACCATGAGGAGTC